AAATTCGTCGGTATATTTGCTGCTTCAGTTGCTTTAATATTTGAGCTGTGCAAAGTGTTTGCGACCTTTAACCGAATTTCGGAAGATATTTCCGATTTCTCCTCCATCGATCCAAAACATCCTTTGCTTGTTGCTCTGACTGAACCACAAGTTTTAGGATTCTAGGGCCGCATCCTCTATAATTTGGTGAGAGAGGTATCCTGGTGAGCGATAGTGCCACAGCATTATTCAAGGAAAGTGTTTCACGAATGATCCGCCACTGTTCTAAATCGTGCTGTCCGGTCTCTTGAACATCGTTAGAAGGATGTTCTGGCACGCCATGTATGAAGATTGTGTTTAGGCGGTCTCGCTTGTTGTGCCCCTCTTCGGTGTTTCGTTTTGGTTGTCGCGCGCTCCAAGGGACATCAGGATAGATACGTATCCCACAGGATTCGTGTTTTAGCGCGCTTGCGGAGAACAAAACGTTTTCTACGTCGGTGGAGGATTCTAGAGTTACCCGAATAAATCTGGGTTCGCCATAGTGTGGCGAGTTTGGATGACGAGTAATTCGTAACAAGTTTATGGGCTTGATTTTGATACTCATCTGTATACACAATGAGTTCCATTGGTCTTGGTCGTCTGGTAACTTATCCCGCAATGTGATGGCGGTAGATTCAGGGACATTTGAGCATACAACAGTCCGGGCACTGTTGTTGGATCCCTTTTTAATCGATCTACAAGTTATGGTACTCATTTGTCGTGACTTGTTGACAAGTGATTGTTTGCTGTTTTTCTCTCCATTTGCGTTAACGGTGTTTACAATGGAAGAGGACGCAACGGCGGCCTCTCGGTGGGCCTTTGCAGCAATCTCTGCATAAGTAACTGGTGTTCTGGGAGACTTAGTCTCGACAAGAGATATTTGAGCTACAGGTACCAAGGGTTGGTGTTTGGCTGCTCCATCCTTGTTAATACTAGATGTCAGCTCTAGTGGAATTTGCTTAACCAGACGTTTTGAATGGTGCCTGATTTTCCTTGCTGTGAGTACTGCTTGATTCACGTAGGTACAGTCTGTTTTCGCCTGGCGTTCTACCAAAGTTGGAGAAGACAACGGAGATGGAGACATGGCTGATTGCGATGCAGGCGAAGCGATTTGTTCAGCATTCCGTTGCTTAGAAGCCGCTACGCTTCTGTGGTCCATACTCGCTCCCATTGAAGTAATCTCATTGTTTATCCTCTGCTCTGCTTCTGCGATTAACCGGTCGCATTTCTCAGCTAGGATAAGCAAGCACTTAACGAGGGGAATGGTGGAACACGCAGTACAGAACCAAAATGCATCTTGGTAGCTATTTCGCTCCCGTAACTGTTGTTGGGACACATTTGCACATTTCGTATGGTATCATTCCAAACAGTGCGAACAAGCCAGACCGATTTTTACTACTCGATGGCATTCTCTTAACCCGCAAATGCCTTTCGCTTGGAGTCTCATCGGTTTCGCCTTTCTGCCATTCAATTTGGTGTCGTTACCTGACCCAGTGGGTTGGTTAGCGTTCTGTACTTTTACAGCTTTGAGAGCGGCGCACATCGGTCAGGCGAGCGTGTTGGTTGCAAGGTCAAATGAGCGGTCGGCGTAGTCGCGCGGTCCGTGTGATAGGTTATGCAGCCGCACTGGCTGACAAGGTCACAAGGAATGGAGAGTGACTGGAACCTGAACAGAGCGCTGAACACAGATTGACAGATCACAGATTATTTCGCAGCTGTGTTGAGAAACACTGGACCGGAGTAAGCTAAGGCTTTTCGGCCTGCCTCAAGAATTCTGTATCGAATGGTGTCACACAGAAAGGCAATCGGCTCGATACGATTGAATTAAACGCTTGCGCTTAATCACAGATGCCAGTGAAAACGGTTAGTGATGGCACAGCCTCTAATCGTAGAAGATATTTCTACGTATGATGGATCAGTGTGTAGAGCTTGTAAATCCGATTCGAATGAGCGTACAGTGACAACGCTGCGAGAAGATAGAGAGAGGATAGAGGGGAATAATCCAAATGAACCAGGAGCACGCACGTCACGCGTGTGTGAGGATGACCTTGACCATGCAAGTTGGTCCACACGTCACCCAAAATATACTACAAACACAATAAAGTTAACGAAGACAACCAGAATTAGCGTAAGCAATGTGGCCAGTTATTAGGAGATTATTCAGGTAGGCAGAACAATACAGATAAAGTGGACGGAAATTTATCCAGCTTAAAAAGACCTAGTTTAAGTTGGTTTAGCCCAACTACGGTGAAGAAGCATCATGAATGCAACATCAGCCTCAGCATATATATATATATATATATATATATATATATATATATATATATATGCCCCATGCTGAGGCTGATGTTGCATTCATGATGCTTCTTCACCGTAGTTGGGCTAAACCAACTTACACTTAAACTAGCTTTTAAATGTGGATAAAATTCATTCCACTTTATTTGGTTTGTTCTGCCTCCCTGAATAATGTTCTATTAACTGGCCACGTTGCTTACACTAATTGCGCTTATCTTCGGTAATTTTGTTGCGTTTGTAGCATTTTAAGTAACTTGTGGACATTTCTTACTTATCACGGATTTGTTGCTAACCAACTTACTTCATATGGTAATTTAGCGAAGAGTTATGCCACCGTATCTGTATGCATTATTGGATTTATTTTATTTCAGCTTGTCGTTTAAAGTGAATGGCTGTTGTATGATATCCCTGTTATGGTTGCGCTTGATGTGTATGTTGACAAGGTGCCTACCTGTCTATTACCCACTACATCGTTCATACTGGCTCCAGGAGACAGTTGGTCGTTGCTGGAGGGGACGGGGTGCACGGTTCTTGTGGCCGTGCTAGGCTCAAAGAGCGGTTCCATGCGCTCAGTGTGGAGCGGACTACGGTCCAGCCACCGCCTTGTGTGCGGTTGATTCCCCAACTACAGCGTGCTTGTGTTTGTCTGTGAAGGAGTGTGGGCCGGCTCCGTTAATGAAACGTGGTTCCCATCCGCATGCCTCCCGGTCTTATTCCTTCGGGTTTACACTGGATATGGGGTATGTGGTTGGAGCTGTGGGTGGTGCAGCGCAAGCCATCCATGGTCCCTCTGTAGGCGCAGGCGTCCTGTGGCTTGCCACAGTGACAGGCAAATCCGAAACCAGATGCCGCCAACCATACATATATTACCTGACCAATACCAGCTCAATTGCCAATCTTTCACTACCTGTGTGCTAGACAGTACGGCGACATGGAAACCTGACATTACTTCAGCTCTGAATTACTGGGTTCCAAAACATGTTTGCATTTGCGTGCGTGTTGTTAAAATACCTGTTAGCCTTCCCAATCAGATATGTTCGTTATTCTCACGCTTCACCCCGGGCGTCTAGAACGGCCAATTACAGTCCACTTTGACCCCAATTCGCCCGCTGGCCACCTTGATCTCTCTTCCAACCTACTTCAGTATGTAGTTAGAGGATACGACGCGGTTACTGCTGAACAAGCATGTGAAGTTCCACCGAAGCCTTTGAAGCAGCTCAGCGGTCAACAGATTTTGTTACTTAACTATACCTCAGCGTGCTTCATCGTTGCTAGTCTGAGGTCACTGTACACCAATATGCTCCGTATACAGCGTTGATCGAAACATACAGTTCCGGAACCATTTTTGAGTGAAAGTGTCAATTTTCACAACTGCAGAGCAAGGCCGATCGTTCCATAGCATTGTGGACTCAGCCCTTCAGATGAAGGCAGAGGTCACGTCGGTATCAGAGATGACGGAGGTTTGCATATGGAACGCGAATCATGTGTATCATCTACTTTCCCATAGCTCCGAAGTAAGTGAACCTGTCAACTACTTCTTAGGAATAACCCAAAAAGTGAGAATAAGCACAGCTCCTGGTCAGTCCATCAGGCAGCTATGTCATCTCTGACTGTCACGTCTTCGAAGATGTTACTGCGCACAGTGTTAATGTTCATGAACGTTTTGCATCCTCAGTCACTCATGAGCCGGCGTGGTGTAAGTTCATCGGTTGAGGGTTATGTGATTGTATAACTGCAGTACTGCTTGTCCTGCTACATGGACACGGTCATTGTATGCTGAGGACCGCGAGCGACTGGCGTTTTACCATTGATGCCGCGAAATATCGCTCATTTTATAAAGCGAATGGACTTCGTAATGCTTAAACCCCTTTGAGTTGTCTGTTTAACTCAAACCACCTACACTGGTTGGGTCGTATTCTTTCTATATTTTTGCTGCATGGTATACTCGTTTTAAGAGTATGTCGGATTAGTGCAGATCATTTTACTGGTTGGTGGCCGTGGTCTGACATTTCGTGATTACACACACTATTAGATATACCGCTCTCCATTCTTTTTCTCGTGATTCCGCAACTTTATTTACCACTTTGTGTTACTATTCTATTACTGATGGCGCTCAGAATCGGAGGGAGCACAGAAATCATAGCTGATCGCTAAACCTGCTTTGCTGTTACACTGTTTGTCTCCGGTACCCTCCATATGGATTTCCGAGCCATATTCGTCCTGTTGCTGTAACCATCTCTGCGTTGGTTCATGGATATTATTTTTGTCACGCTAAGCTCAAACAGCACACATTTCAACCACCGCCTTCCTTTCGACAGCGTATATATGCAGTATCACCACATACTTTTGGAATGGATCCGCTGAACTGGTTTATTTTCTTCGATCGGATGTACCTACCGCATTGCACAGTCCCATTTTGGTGACTTCAACCACCTACTACAGTCACGCTGATCACTCCATTTACCTTGGCAAAGCGAACACATGTATTTCCAGAGTTTTTTCTTTATATTCAAATGTGTAGCGCATTAGTATGGTTAACTAGTAAGTAACTGTTCATATTGGCTACTTGCACGTCTCGATCTTGCTTGCTAACTACCAATTTTAATCAGTATGGCCCCTCTCACTTAACTGCAAACTTTCTTGCTCTCAATAGTGTTACTGATGTCTCCTCCCCTGTCCGCACTCAGCTTCAATGACCTCACAGTGACGTATAACAATTTCCGGAAAAGTGTGAAACTTGAAGGATTGGGCGAACCAATCAACGTTATGCGTACAAATCTACTTCTCATTTTTCGCTGCTTGGATGGATTAGATTGTAAGTTGCGTTCAAGTGAAATGTGCTGTGTAACTCTGATGTATGGTGTTATCGATTTTCAGACGCGTCTGTTGATCATTATGTGCTCCTCTACGTTTGGATGTGCAGCCCCACGCTCACATATGCGATAGTCATTACAAATAACAGGACAGTATAGTAAATTGGACCCAGAGCCTCCCTTGAACGCATAACTCAGATGACCATACCAATTTCCATCACACTAACTGTCCCCTTGCTCCAGATGCCACACCTTCTGTGATCCTCTCCTCCATCGCGCTCAAAACCGATTTCACGTTTCCGCTGCAGCGAATTTTGTTTTTGTGTTATCCAATTACTTAGATGCATTTGTTCTCTTGCTGACTTTTTTTTCCTCATCTTTTCGGACGCTTCTCTGAGTCACTATCTTGCTCCCTCTCCACCAACTGGACTACACTGCTCCCATTGCGCTCGGCTTTTCGATGTAACACCGGCATTAAACAGACTTAATCTTTTATGCATCTCAGTGTCCCAGCAACGTTCACCATGCGTGAACATCATGGTAAGGGCGGACGACGATTACCATTTATTTGCCACATCGTAGTGGTACACTTTTGCCAAATCTTTAGCTAGCACCTCAACAATCAAACTTCACATTCACTAGCATTTCACGGCACCCTACACTCCCACAATGTGTCGAATTTGTATCCCGCTTTATTTTCCTTCATCGAAGCACTGCGACTGCGTTTGATATCTGAGAAACAGTCTGGATCTGGGCAGCAGTTTCAGCTTCCTTTCGAGACATCTCTCTCAGGTTAGTTGATCGATGCACAAGTGATCTGAATTTATAAGATTGCTGACACAGCTCTAGTAGTAAAATACTTATTTTGCCATTAGTATGCGTGCCTGTCCGCAACGCATATCGCTAGTTTGCATGCATACCGATGGTGGCCGGTGTTCACTTATATTCATTCCTTTTTACGCGGTCATTCTGTTACCATACAATTTTTTTACAGCATTCTTTGTTTCCTCCCAAGGCCTCTTCTAACTCTAGTTATATATCTGTGTTATTTGACATTGATGACGAAACTAGTGAACCCATGTAGTACGACTTGCACCAGACCTAACGTCTTCCACTATTATCTTGTCTTCCCGATTTGGTAACCTTTATTCGGATGGCCGAGTGGATTAGTTGCTAACTTCTAGCTGGTTACAGACGACATTCTGTTTTAAATTACTGGCTTTTTGTTCTCTTTCCTGTTAACCAAGAAATACCCATAGGAATTAACGAATTAACTGCGCTCTGTGAAAACGGGGCTCCGATTAGCTGAACCGAAAGTACAGACGGTTGCTTTTGATGACTTACGTTTTGTAGTCGGTATCTGCTCTCCCATACCTACCCATTCACGCACTCACACTGCAGTCCATTCATTGTGTTTGCTTCTCGACCAGATTCATTTGATGTTCCGTACTACTCGCCACAACAAATCACTCCCATCGCGACGAGCTTGAAATTTGACATGACGCAGTGCTTTTCGTACATCCTTCCTCTGTCAACTCCGCTAGGTGACATTTTCCATGTGCCTTTGAACCCACTCGTCTCAGTTACATAAATGATGAGAGGTTATACGAACTCATGAGACGTTGGGTCAGGATCAAACACCTTGTTCCCCAGCTACTCTCACGAGAGATAGTTGACATTTCTTATCTCTAGTGTTGAATACTGAATACTGAGAATAGGAAGCGAGAAGATAAAAGTCTACGTTTCTCCATCGTAGGTGGATCGAGCACATGCGCGGAATCACGTCGCTGATCCTACACGGTGGTAGCATATTGCAACTGCACTACATCTCATTCGGGTGCGATACGCTCTCTATACCTGTAGTCCACAAAGTGGGCATCGAGGAATCTCTTAAATTCCGACACCGATTTCACCTCGACTCTTGTCTCCGGCAACTTATGCCAATATTTCACCACTCGACGCTCGGAGCATTGAAGGTGAGCAATGCACTTTACATCCGGTACCACTAGTTTGTACCGGTGTCCGCGTGGACTGCTTGTGTGTGAACATGCAACAGCAGCAGCCTCAACTTAGGGAAGTGGCCCAGCTGCGGTATCCGGTGCGTCATAATGAGATCGACTCGAAGCCGACGGGATGACAGGGTAAAAAGCCCTAGTCTCCTACAGTGGTCCTCGTACGACGTTCCGTAAACTGGGGTTGAACCAGGTAGCTACATACCGGATCCGTTCCAGTCTCTGCACCTCACCTAGTAGGCGGATGAGCTGTACTCACTCACCGGTCTTATTATGGAAGAGAACAGACAGGTGGCAATCTCTTCAAACCAAGTTGTCATTCAGTTGTTTGGTGCTGCCCGGTTCCTTCCTGATTATGTTTGACCGATATGGTACGAGTTCACCAGAGGTGACTACATTAGACCCCGATCACTGTTTTGGCTTCCCTTGCAGCCTTAAAGCCTGCACCATTAGGTACTAAACCTGTGCCCTCCGCCTGACCACTCTCAGACGGGCCACCATTTAACTGCTGTTTTAACTTCTTGGCAAATCTGTTCCCTGGGATCTTTGGTCGAAGACTAGAGGTGGAAAGTCCGGGAAGTTTTATGTGGTTGTATGATCTGGACGTATCTCGGTTTGATCTACTCTCGCCTCCCACCAGTCTCATATTTGTTCCTACAAGTTGCTGCATCCGAGGGTCACCCATGACTTCGTCACTCACATTAAAAGACAACGCAACGAATCATGTTTCAATAAGATGAAGTTCGTACGTACTCTTAGCACATTCTCACTAGTGTTGAATCCTAGTTAGCTCTCTTACGCCACTTGGCATCACTCCGCTTCGATTTTTATGCTCAAGAGTGGTCTGATTCACCTACATCAATTTATCCATGGCAACCGGTTTCCAACTGGCTACTGACTCAAGTATCACAGCCCAAATGTGAATGGCATACGCTATTACACCCTCAACTGCGGGCCACTTTTCGCTCATTTCCCCATCTATTCCTGTTCCCTGGAGTACAAACATTACGGCACCTGAAGTCCTCTAACTGATTACGATCCTACTTGCGTCCACCGATATTTGGGGGGGGGGGGCAACTCACTTCAAGTACACTTGTGGCGAATTGCACAATTGTTTTTGCATCCTTTAAGCATCAAATTGTTTTTATATTGAGTCAACATTAGGTACTCATGTATGCAATTGATTTCTGTACAATTCAGTTGGATCAGCTTTCGCTGCTCTTTTATCATTTTAAGCGCATCCCGGAGCGCTCCTGATGCGTTAGTCTCCTACTCATCCGTTAAAGTTTTTGGTGATGTGCGCTTGTTTTGTGCAGCGTTTCTTGACCACACCTAACTTGCCCGACTTGCAAAATGGTACGTGTGATGTTTCCACCTCGTTTACTGTCTGCTAACTCCAATCATGTTCACTGGTTCAGTTTCTTCTCTCCTCGTATACCTTTTTGTGTGATGGATTGCTAGTCTCTCTCTTTTTGTTGAGTTTGGTTTGCCACATTCGGCGTCATTCTCTCTTTTGGCATTGGTAAATCTCCCTGGTCCTGTTGCGTTTGTATTGACATGCATTGTCTGCTTATCACTGCTGTTTTGGTTGCCAGAGTCAAGAGACATCGCGCACTCGTTGTTCAAAGGAATCCTCAAACGGAGAGACAGAGCGGAATCCACCAGGAACGCAATCGATGTGATGCAACGTTACCAATTTTTGTTCAATCTCCCACATGCCATCCGGTCGAATATATTGAAGGTGAGTATGCCAACCGTAGAGAATTCGCACATGCTAACTCTCCTCTTGTTACTCGAGGAAGTTCCACCTCAGAGCTCAACTGGCTCCCTTGGCGTGGCTCTGAAAGTTTGCCATCTTGCTTTAGTCTCCCAGAGCGCTGACGTTAGAGAGGGGTTATGTATATCTCTTTTGTCATTGCCCTGCACACACCGCTTCACCCCCCATAGTTTCGGCACCGGTTCCAAACCATGGGAGCGTGTTACGTAATAAACAACAGCCGTGCTGAGCTACTATGGTGTCAGCGCATTTAGAACATCCATTTGACCCCCTCGCCTTGGCGTTGTGTAATCGTATCGGCAGCACCCTTGTACCTTGCAGACGATCGCACGCGTGCTAAGTTATTGCCGGAGCGCCCAAACGTATGCAGAAGCGGGGACTCGAATCTAGAGCATCGATCCAGTCATGTGAACTCACGCACCACTTTGTACCCCGCTTCCGGATCACATCGGCGTTTTTCAAACTCGGACTCACTCGGGGCTACTCACGATACTTTCACGATAGTCAGTTTGTAGTGACTAGCGGATTTTATAGCCGGCCGCCTGGAAAAGGGCTTAACTACCCATTTCGTTCCCCATAAGTGCCTTCACTCATGCATCTTTCTTTCGCGGGCATCAGACGTTTCCGCTGTAACTAAATGATAGATTCCGAAATGATAACACGGCGTTTTTCCGAGTACAGCATACCACTTGATTCCTCCCTGTCGCGATGACGTTTAGATAACACGTTGTGCGTTCACCACACCTTCATGAACTGGGCTTCGTCAGACATTTTTCAGGATTCGGGCTACTTTGTTTCCACTGTAAATTGGACTAATATCCAAGGTTATTACTTTCGACGCCCTTCCAACATTTCGTTTTATGCTTATCTCCAGCTCTTATACAGAACAGCGTAATTATTTTGTTTCCGTTATTGTTCTCTTTCCTGAGTATTTCATCAAACTGATCCTTTTTCCCTCGTCTAACTCATTCCGAAGTAAACACCCCGTCCATTTTCAATCCTTTTGCCATACGATACATCTTTCCGCTTAGCGTTTTTGAGTTTAGCCATCAGTCGCTTTATTGCAGCAGATAGCGCCCTTTTTAGTTTTTCGTGCCTATGCAATTATCACTAATTGTTACTGCATTCGATGCTTTTCTCCGTAGTTTTTAGTCTTCGCATCCTTGTACCTGCACCTATGGTGTGCCAATGGCTTCTAGTACATACCACCCACTTTTGCTTCCTTACTACTGCAACATCTGCCCTCACAAAACATACGATTACCATTTTGTGGCCTTACCTTTTCCTGTAGGGTGATTACAGCTTGGTACTCAATGATTACTTGCGGGCCAAATCGCTGTTCGCCAATTCCGACGTGAAGGTGCTTTCTCGCGGTATGTCATCTGTACCATTACAGTGTTGTGTTTCTTCATCCTTTCTTGTTTCACCAATCAATGTTCCTACACAGACGCTGTCCTGTAAACCTCTAAGAGTCACATCAAACTCTGGGTAGCGAGCACATATACACCAGTTATCAAATTTAGAATCATTTATATTGTACAAAGGTCGAGGCGCTGTCCAATCGCTACCGCTTTTCACTTTTTATCTCTCCTTGTCGCGTGTTATGCCATTTGCAATGCCTATTGGTCCGCACGCGCGCTACTCATCCGCTGTGCTCAGTCCATTTCACTCCTGCTCTGAGTGGAATATTGTGAAACTTGGCTCATGCTGAATTGCACAAATTCTCTACTGTCCGTCTGCACCGTGGGATCATGATCAGGCCTCGTCAACCATTACGTGCGGACTTCATTCTCTCGGTTCACCAGCTGCCATCGCACTCCGTATTGTTAACCTGTGTTCCCTGGTGCACACGCACTGTTCGCTCGTTGCTATTCGAGACAATTCACTTCACCTTGTTTTTAACCGAAGTGTGATGCCTTTATGCTAGACCGATTCAGTTTTACCTTGCCCCTCCTACCCTAGCGATCGTGTTCAGCTCTCGCGAGCGACGCACCGACGGTCCCGCTGACCCAAACGGCCAGCTGTCCTCACACTTAATTGTGTTTTAGGTTTTCTAGTTTCAACCTGACTACTGGCACCACATTTCCATTCTACTGATAGTAGACATGCATAACTCAGGATATTCCACCAGTCAGCCGAGCTACTAGACTCGCCTCTGTGCTACATTCCACTCACTTGTACTCTAACTAGGTGACCCAGTGGTCCTCACACGGATCGCATCCGTGAAAGCCACACTGACTCAAGAATGACTCTACTCTGCTTCTCCTTTAATGGAACATTCCCAACTGAACAACTGGTACATCTTGCGTACACAATCTTTTGGGATCATCTTTTGAACTAATCTAGTTTATTTGCGGTGGATTATAATAAGCGATTCAGAACATTGGCAACTGCGAAACCGTATCAACCCGTGATTACATAAGTCAACCAAGACACTGTTCTGAACACTTTGCAATTAGAATAGAGTTTCTGACGTCATGCGTGGCTCCAGAACTTCTGCTTGCTGTCTTTCCACAGGAGCTTATAACTTAACGAATATCCGAACCGTCGGTAACTTTGCTAAAATGCAGAAGGATCCCTACTGGTACCGAACACAGTGAGGCTAAATAACCTTTTGAGTGCGAACTAAAACGGAGACTTCGAGTTGACGACGAAAGCCTGTTTGTTCAGAGAGCTCTGGAACTTCATGTAGGAATGACTTTGGCAAGTTCCTTTTACTAACTCACATCACTGGTCCTCAGATTTCACGCGCCAATGTGGCCGTGGATGATATTGTTGGCTCTTGGCTTCACATTGCGGAACACTGTCTGGGTCGCTGGACGTTGCACTTTCGGGGATAGTTGGGCTTGCTTCCCTCTTTCTGACCACTTCGTGCTTCGGTTGCGCCGATCTGAGCGTTTCCGGTTAACTTAGGGGCACCGTCTGAATTTGGTATTGACGATACTGGCCCCCGCAAACTTCTCCACGTTCTCCGCTGCCCTGGATTTCCTCGTGCTCCCGCTGTTTAGAAATAATCGTGAAATCTGCATAACATTGACTCATTTGTATCCAAAAATATAGCGCGAAGAGATCGTCCAACCAACTGAGACGAATCGACCATGTTGACAATATTCAAAAGTCATTCCTAGCGTTGGTGCTAGCCCCATGAACATCACTTTAACGTCTGCATTGCTTGGTTTTCTGTTTCTATTCCTTCGGTCGCCTTGCAGCCGAGCAGAAATCTCAATTTATCTAGACTATGCAGGTTTTAAACCTGGGCGGGAATACACAGCTCTGCTTTTCGCCCTACAGCGGGTAGAATATCATCGTTGCATATGCTGCAAATCCACTATGCTTCCATCAGTTTCAAGTTGTTCAATGTGCTTTGCCGTAAGGGTATTCCCATCAGCTAAAGAGCTCGCGTTAGGGGCTACAGCGAATTGTCGTTCGCTTTGTCAATAATGCCTGGCTTTCGCAAACGCTGACCCATTTTGATTCATTTTTGTCGTTGAGTGTATCACAGAGTCATCTCTCCATGATGTTGTCTCGTGATACATGCAATAGATTCCTGCCCGTTGGAAAACTAGTTTATCTAGATTATCGAGACAACGTCTTCATCCCGTTTCTTGATGCCGGTGTCACGCAGTACCCATTCACAAACTCGTTCGGTCCCACTAATTGCTATGCACTGTTTTTCTTTGACGCGCAAGTGCCACACAAGCTTATTGCCCGTTTGATTTTTCATGTCGAATGATCTGTGTTAGTAGATTCACCTACCTTGACAGTCGCATTGGCGGTGACTTCTGACGTATGACTGCTGAAGGCCTGACACTCGTTTCTATCTTCCATCATTGTTTACTGCTGAGCATTGCAAGGGTAGAGCAATAATTTTCCGGATGCACAAAATGTCCTATTTTTGCAGCAAAATAACCATTACATTTTCTCCAAGTACTCTGCACCAGAGTTCATTTACAGTTCCATGCCCTCAATCCATTTGGAAAAACAGCTAGACCATACCGTAATGGGTAACCCTTCAAGAAACTCAATAAAGGCCTCTGCTGCAGTTGCTGAAGACTCCTAGCGCATTCCACCCATCATGCGCTTTACATTTGGGAGCACAGAAGTCACACAGAACAAGGTTTGGACTGTAGGGTGGGTGTCCAACTTTCTGGATGCGTTTTGTAGCCAGGGAATCAACAACGACATGGTACCTTTGTGAAGGTGCGTTGTCATGGTGCAGCAGGGTTCCCCGTGCTCGAATCCTTGAACTACGCCTGGATACAGCTTCCAAAGCTTGTGGCAGACAGTTGGTGGCCTACTAGTCTTCGGTGACTATGCTTTACCCTACGAGCGGTACAGTAGCCACATGATTGGTCTTGGCCACGAACACAACCACATCTGCTTGCTCACGCTGCACTCAAGCCGGAATTTCTGAGGCGGCACCCACCGATGGCCGTCCACTGAGCCGATTGCTTTTTGGTGTCTGGGTCGAAACTGTACACCAAGTTCTCATCACCACTAAGAATCTCCTAAACAGCATTGGAACCTCCACCATCAAACCTGGCAAGTATGGTGCAGCACCAATTCACCCGAGCCGCTTTCTGATCCTCACTGAGCTGATGAGGTACGCAGCGTACGCAAACCTATCTGAGGCCCATGTCCTCATGTAGGATGTTACGGATTGATCCCCATGAGATCCCAATAGCCTTCCCCAGCTGTACTACAGTCACCCGCCTATTCTCCTCCAGCATCGCTTGCACAGCAGCAGTGTTGTACGTGGTGGTGGCCTCCACTGGTCGACCACATCGTGCCTCATCATCCAAGGACCGCCTGCCACGCCTGAATCCCCAAACCACTCAAACACGGTGCTTCCTGAAGGTGCATCATCACCAAACGCAGCACACAATCGCTCAACACTCTGGTGCTTCAGTCATCGAAAATCATCGTCCTCCAGTAACACTAATTGCGTTCCATAATTACAGTCAGAGTATAGCGAACTTTATGACTTCTGTACTGTGCTGAATTGTTGTTACAGGGTTCTGTGAGTTGAAATCACTGAATAATGTCCAGAATGGATTACAGTTCACATTTTTATTTCCAGGTCATCTACATTTACTTTGTGTACTGCGTATCCGGGAGCTTATTGCTCTGCTCTCGTACTTGTTTGTGGCCGCAGCAGAACGTCCTGAACGATAATGCGCGCAAGCGAGTAGTACATGGTCAGAATCAGACCAGTTTGTTAGATCAACAGCAAGGCGTTTGTAGGCCTCTTCGAAACGGATTGCTTACTTGACGCATGTTTGGTGCGGAATTCCTTGCTGCGTAAGGTTGCTTCTGCCATCGATTCTCTTCGTTGACGCTATCTTATCCACATTTGATAATCACCTGCTTTCAGCTTTACTTTGCTAGCAAAATACAGGCGCCTTTGTATTAAGTGTCATAATGGGACATTTTACGTCAGTTTCCACCTCTCATCATGTTGTCGCTCCTCATTCCGTGGCTGTGTGAGGTAAGCTTTCCGTTGGTGCTGATATCAGGGAATCTAACTCGGATTTGACGATGGGAGGCGTTAAGCGACTGCCATGAAGCAGTTGTCACTGTATCTGAGATGCGAACGGCACCATACCGAACCGGTGACCCTTCTAGATTGTTCACGATAGGCACTCATTTCTCACCTTCATAATCTATTATTTCCTTTGCTTAATCGCTTTGGTAAAGACTCTAACTAGTGGTCCCCTTCTGTCCACTAACACAGGATCAAGTGAGCATTAAACATCTAGTAGTCTGTCACACAGTGGACGATCCATGTGAGTTCTCCACGGCTTTCTGTCCACTACTCGAGGTTTACTATGACTCAACTCAAGTCCAACTAGGCTTTCTTAACCCGACTGGGAACATTTTCCACATTTTGCGCTAGCAATGCTGATGCAGTGAGACATAACATTGCTCTGAAATTGCAATCAAAGATATGCACATGCATGGTACTGATAAGTTTCTTGGGGTCCACAAGAAAACGGAATAAATACGCTAAGATAGAGTTATGATCAGATATTGTGTGAGGAATCAAAACCCCAAATTTGGAGCGGGTAGACGAGCAGGAGAAACTTTACTAAATCAGCGTGCATTTATCACATACACCAAAATGCTTCGTAGCGATGAAGTCAACCAGAGACTCTGGGACATCCAGGCACCTGGAAATAAGTTTAATAGAACACACTCTAAATGTGAAGTTTTTGTGGAATACAAGGAACCATGATAGGCGTGCAATATAGCCAATGGGGAATAATACAGGCAGTCACGAATTTGTAAATTAAATAAAGTAATAGTAGGTTTATGCTCGATTACGCGAGGCACGCCTGCACACGCATGATCATAGCAAGAATACAAAATGTGA